GTGTGTGTGTGTGTGTGTGTGTGTGTGTGTGTGTGTGTGTGTGTGTGTGAGGTGAGGTTGCCTCCAAACGAGTTGACATTTTTTCTGAGCTGGAATGGATCCAGGATACAAAATCACAAAATCACAAAATCCAGATCATCGTCCAGGTCCAGCACCAAATGTCTCTAAATCTCATTAATGTTAACAGACGGGAAATAAATCCTGGATCTGCCCACTTATTTGAATCCGCTCCAAATGTGAATGAGTTCTTTGTTGGTTCACATCCCACCCTTCAACCGACGTTCAATAAAATCTGCTCCGCAGTTTTTTTTGTGAAATCCTTAAAGACAGACAAACTTTTTTGCAGGAGCTAATATTTGACCACAGAAACATCTCTGTGTCCTCAGAGGGACCAGAGAGCAGCCGGCGTGTTTTCATGAGGCCAAACACGACCGTCTGGACTGTGATCGAATGTTAAACAAGGTCTGGTGATGACTTTCAAATGGAGCTTAATGTAGTGAGGGGGGGGGAGGGGGGCAGGGAGGCACGTGGCCCCTAAAAGCCCCCGAGGGGCGTCCCTGTCATCTGCCTGTTCCACTCAGAGCAGGTGTCCGAGGAGACGAGGTCCGAGATTCACTGTTTCACCCTCAAAACCAGATTCAGCCTCTGAGCTACACACACACAGACACACACACACACACCCACACACACACACATACACACACATATATATGGTGGGAACATTTTGACACGTGAGAAGAGACCTGCTGACAACATGTGTGACTTAGAGCTGCAGTGATGTAAGCGTGTGTTGAAAAAGCCTGCAGGGAAATCAAATCAATATATTGACAGAATGCACGATGGTGTGGACAGACTGTTCCTCTAAACACAACTAGGACACACACAAATACACACACGCTCATTTACACAACAGCGTTTCATCTTTAGATTAGATAAATTAAAGCTTTGCATCCGTAGGTTTTAATGGCTTGTGTCTGATTCTCTCCAAACAATATCCAACGGTGAAGCCAGATAATCCCAACTGCCAATATGCTGTAGCTCATTAACCCCGCCTCCCAGCAAAATGTACACCCCCCCCCAATGTTATTATTTTAATTTAACTCCACGTGATAAGAAGAATTATTATTTGTAGAATCTGTCTCACGTAAAGATCTCCTGGTAAATTTATAAAATTCAAGTTAGCAGAAGAAATCAGTGAACGGCAGCAGTTCATCGGACCAGTCACCATCACGTTTGAATGTAAACAGCCTTCTCTGTCTCTCACACACACACACACACACACACACACACACACACACACACACACACACACACACACAGGCCCTACAAGTGGTCTGCACAAATTAGCCTCAGCAGGAGACGCATCTCCATGGCAACTGCAGCCCTCCCTCTCCACACATGAAGGGGGAGTTTGTGGTTTGAAAGCCTTTGTTTGACTGTGTGAGTGTGTGTGTGTGTGAGTGTGTGAGGCGCTCAGTGTGCTGAGGAGACACAGGCGACAGCTTCGGGAAGTTCTCTGTCGTTTTGTCTATTTTCCTTCCTCTGGAATAAACGCTCTGACGGAAACAGGAGGGCGAGCGACGATGCACGGTGAGACCTGATGCACGTTTCCAGTGCTGAGCGTTGAAGTGTGCGCGTGTTGCCCAGAGGTTGTGTCCGTGCGGTGGAAGGAGGTGACGGCAGCTCTGAGGTGTGTTTCATATCATATATAACGAATCGGACAGAAAGACAGTGAGAGAATTATTATGATAATTGTTGTATTGAGTTCTGCCTGTCAGGAAAACACAGGAGTCTGAGCACAGGCTTGTTATTTCTCATTTTCACTGAATCTCAACCGGCGATGTTTCGAAACACAACGAGGAGACTTAATGACGTGATAATGAGGAGAGAGTCGTTGGGCTGGCGGCGTTGGAAAAGCTCGGCTCTGTGTCTGGATGAGATGTTGTTGATTTCACATGTTTCGAATTCATCAGTGTCGAGAGATGGATCTTTGTGAAGACGTGAGGTCGGTGGTTGCTCTGTCGTCCTGCAAATGAAGGTGCCGAGCTTTGTCACGATTGAATCACTTTGAGCATTTCACTCTAAACTGCAGCCGGAGCCTTGACGACCATCGTTAATTAAGCACCTTTGGACTCTTCCTCAGACAAAATGAGGGATGTGAAGAGACGAGAGAAACTGTTGTGAATCTATTATGGTTTGATTTGAGAGGTTTGCACACCGACAGTGTGAGGTGCAGATTCCTCGGATGTTGGCCGTTGCACAAAGTTAATGTTGTGCACGGCTACTAGAATCTTCATCGTCCGTCTTTATTTAATGGATCCGTCTCAGAAGCTCGACTTGAATCCAGCAGGGTCGTGGATTTAGGTCGGATTTATGTCCGTCTGTGAGCCTCAACATTGTTCCAGGGATTCCCCCAAAACTCAGCTGAGGAGCCCCGGCTGAGCAGCGAGTGCTAATCCCTGCCGGGGAGAAGAATTCGGACAAAGAAAGAAAGAGTTGTAGGTTCTCTCAGATGCTCTTAAGCTACATCCTCACGACTCTGTTTTGGTTTTACAACTCACCACCTCTGCTACAGATAGATGACGTCCACACCTCTCTGGAGTTTCAGAGCAGAAGTTTGGAAACGTGGTCGTATGGATGTCCTGTGGTTAGAGAATGTTTCAAACTCACATTTCGATCCGTCATTAATATTCATGTTGGATCGGCTGCTTTTCTCTGTTAATATCAGTTTAACTTGAGATCAGACAAAACGAACAGCTCCTCTATAAATAGTTTAAAAAAACGAAGATACAGGAAATCGCTGAATCAAACTGTTTGATTTATGTTTCACAGATATATAATAATCAAGTCAAAGCATTTAAATGCAACATGTGTCTTGAAGAAAGAAGAAAAAAGTTCATGAAGCTTCGAGGCACCTTCATGCCGACAGTGAGGGACGTTCAGCTCCTCCTCAGTCTGATTGTCTCTCTGTGTTTTCTCCCCCGCCGGGTCCCGACCCCCTCGGGAGCGCACTGACACGCCCCCTTTTGTCCTGCTGAATGCCCTGAGCTCCGAGTCTTTTACTTGGGCTGAGAAAGACACAAGAGTTTGTCCCTCAGGCTTTTGTTGTCACGTCTCTGTGGAGGCCTGAGATGGTCTATCTGCCTCTGGAGGCGGATTTACATCACAGAACTGTACCTCCGAATATTCTGACCTCTTTACGCAAATGCACAAATTTCATCATATAACTGGGAACAACGGATTCTCGCTCATTAACCTTCTGACCTGAAGTTCTTTGTAAACGTTTATATCTTCAACATTTCTCAACATAAAAACATCACAACAATACGTTGACATTAGGTCGTCAGTCTCTTCAGAGCAAATCTCAATATTGTCTTTGAATTGCAAATTTAAAACTAACAAAGAGTTCGTTTGCAGCTAATTTACATCTGTCGTCCCTGGGCATTTAAAACGAGACGATAATACGAAGAAGAAGAAGAAAACCATCCATTTTGTCAACAAAACTTTGACAAATTACTTTTTTTGTTTGACACGATTTCCCGCTGAAGTTGAAGAGAACTAGTCTGCGTGAGACTCAGAAGAGCCAAATGTCGAGAACAGAAGAAAATCCATGACACAGCAGCGGCACGAAACATCTGGTTGTGTTTAAATTACGAAACGAAGGTAGAAGGAGAAATTTAATTCAATGTGACAGAAATACACAAAGAAAGAGAGAGACCCCAAACTGAAGGAGCAGAATCTGTGCAGAGAGAAGAAGCGCTGGATAGACGGTGGCCGCTGTCCGGCCCTATGCAAATTACGTGTATGCTAATGAGGCGTCCTCCGCGGTTAAAGGGCGCCATTCAGCCCCTTCAGTTAAGATCCGCCTTCGTCTCAGCAGCTCAAATGGGTCGTGAGCGGGCTATCAGGGGAGACGGGTGCTCAATAAAGGGGGTATTACAGCGGGTATGAAAGCCACCCCTTATCCAGAGCCCCCCCCTACGCCCACCGAGGTTACAGGGTGAGAGGGGTCCCCGGGAAAGTGTCTCTCGCTGAATGCACCTCTGTAAGACACGATGGCATCTCATCTCATCGCTGTGTGATTTGCACATTTCTGACTCGTGAATGAAGTTTGACGAATGTGCGTGCGTAGACGTTTAAAGGGACTGACGTGATGTGTGGGTTAACAAACGTAATCACTGTTTCAGTGTCGGTGCTTCAGGCAGCGGAAAGCCGCGATAAACTCACCCAACGCCCCCGAGCCAGCACCGAACAGCAGAACCAGAATACAGATTTAAACATCTAGAACCCAAAGAGACAAATATTCCTCCCAGAGTCGGTGGAGACCAAAATGAAGCTGAGAGGAACGCTCTGCTAACAAGCTCATTGTGAGGGAATCAGTTCAACGGTTGAGTTGTTGTCACCTAATCTGAGCTATCCCTGTGAAGTGGAGTATTCTCCCCACGTCACAGAGGCCACATACCATTCACCATGACATGCTAAACCTGTGAGTCTTCCAGAAAGACCCTCTTGCATTTATTTCCATTTCTATTTTCCTTCCTCTGGTTGTCATCTCTCTATCTTCCTATCTCAACCTTTGGTCGTGTGAATACTGCAACAGAGATTACGACAACATCAACGCAATGGTTTGCTCGCAACCGAATTGTACGTGTCCTAATTTCTGATTCAGAACTCACTCGAGCGAGGTCAGATGTGATGTCAAACTTATTGTCACTTTTCATCACAGTCAAATATCCAGTGACATCATTTTCAGAGCTGCAAACCTGCGCTCAAACAGCAATCAAGTCCAAAATCAATCACCGCAGCCGCGGGAGAAACGACACCGACGTCCAACACTGAGCCGGAGGACGGGAGCGCTCCGTGCTTCTGTCAATACTGTTGTGATAGTGTTGTGAGAGCAGCATCGACCGGACTGAGCTGCAGAGGAACACGAACAGAAGTGAAAATCATCGGCTGCGGTTACGTAGATAATTGTTGTTTCGAGATTTCAAACTCATTTACTGAACATGTGTGAAATCTCTGGACAATAAACGATTTCAGTGTCAAATATCCTCCGTTTAAATATTTTCACTTTCAGATGATAATGTGTCTGTTTTCATCTTTATCCTAAACTCCCGTCGTCCCCGTCTGCCTCCAGATGCCGGACCACTTCGACCAGACGGTGGTTCTGAACCAGCTCAGATATTCGGGCATGTTGGAGACGGTCAAGATTCGACGCACAGGCTTCCCCATCCGGAGACCTTTCCAAGACTTCTGCTGCAGGTGAGTCTCAGCAGCTCAGCTCACACAGGCACACAGGCGAGGGGGGAGCGGCATCCTGCGGAGGATCTCCAGCTGTGTTCTCACTTTGGCTCTATCGGACATTTTCTTTGTCTTCGAGAGAAAGTCCAGAGGCTCTCACTCGGACATCTCACATACCTCCATTCTGGAGAAGCAGCTTTAAATTCCTATGAAGGTCCAGAAAAGATCAGGATTAGCCTGTAAAACTGGTGTCTGTAGAAATACATAGTTCTCCTAGTTTCAATATTAGATATTTTTCATTTTAAAACTGTTTTTACAAAAGTTCAGTTTTCTGTTCAGAGTTTTCGGGGTGACTGGAACCTTGTCCCTGCAGCCTGTGAACCTGAAAAGCTCTGGATCCTAAACCTTCTCCCACCCTGCTCCTCAGGTACAAGGTGCTAATGCGGGAGGCGTTGATGCCGGATGATCCCAGGGGGCGCTGCATCCAGCTGCTGAGCCACTACGACAGCAGCAGCGTGGAGTGGCAGCTGGGAAAGACCAAGGTGAGGGACAGATGTATTAACGTCCACATTCACAGGAAGCTGAGGGATCCACTTACTTCCTGGTACCTGAGACCTGATCCAGAGCCTCATTATATTCAGTCTAACTGGGCCTGGTGAGGTCCTGTTGTTGTACATCAGGTCTGTGCGTCTGTCAATCTAATACCAAGCAGAAAGATTCAAAATAATGCTGCAAACATCTTGTGCAGGAATTAGGTTCCCTTTGTTATTAAGGAGGGAGAAATCCCACAGATGTGTGTTTCCTGTCTCTCAGCAGAGACGTGCATCCCCTCCGCTCAGTTCTCTGCAGTGTAATTGACTTTTTCCTGTCAAACCTTGAGCTCCTGAATGTCCTGTTCATCCTCCGGCGCACACCAGCTGATCCGTGCTATAATGGAATATGATTGGATGGAACTCCGGCACCAGTGGCAACGCCAATCCATTTTGGCTGCACTCTGCTCTCCTCAAGGCTTCATTTGGCTTCATGCGTCACGTGTGTGTGTGTGATTATGAATGATTGAGGTCCAGAGCACCTGAAGCATGGAATCCAACATGTCTCTCTGCTTCCACTACAACACAACTCCTGCCAGTGTGTGTGCATGCACGCCCGCACATGCGATTTCTGTGGGGAAATGAGATGACAGATGGCCGACACAGATCCACAATCGCAGCGTGATTGTGTGAAGCTGCAGAGGGCGACAGCAGTGCAGGAAGTGTGTGTGTGTGTGTGTGTGTGTGTGTG